CATCTTGATCTGTCAAATAACAATATTGCATGGATAGAAGGTAAATAATTATAAAGATTATATTTTAAATAGCTGTTTGTTTAGACATAAAGCCATAAAGACATAAATGTTACCATATAAATAAAATATATTTTAAATTCTTAAAAATATGTCCTTTCAAGATTCAGAAAATTTTGTCATCTTCACTTTAAAACATAATGATAATTCAGTACAAGAACTTTTTTGATAGACTTTACTGCCATAATAAATAAATTCCTTTTAAGGGATGGACTGGTGAAGAAACACTTTTTCATGATGTCTTTGACCTGTTTCTGAACTACTATAATATTAAATTTATGTATTATTAATTTTTGCATATAAATATTTCTATATAGTTATATAGTAAAATTTCAATTTAATGGTTTTCAAGGAACTGGTGAAAAAATATTCTAAATCACAGAATATCTAAAATTTGAACATCCTTAAAACATGCCACAATGTATAAATACATGTGTATATGCATTCAGAATGGATAAAATGAAGAAAAACACATATATTACTAGTATAAATGCTTCCATGAAGTCCTTTATTTTATCCAATATAATGTACAGTACAATGATCAACACCTTCTAGACATGTTTTACACAAGCATAATAAACTGTTAAGCTGTTTTTTGAAAGTAGTCAAGGATACTTATTTGTTTCCTGTTGAGTTTTTGGCATATCTTCTTCACTGCAGTTTTTAAGTTTGAAATATAAAGATACAAATAGTATTCTTTTCAATATCATCACCACTATTGTGCATTGTGCTTCTTTATGCATTATACTTGTTCCATAGTGTATTGGTTTGTAGCTGCATGGGAATACTGTGTCTGGACTGCAGAATCCATAGTGAACTTCAGACTGTCGTGGTATTGGCAAGTTGTATTTACATTAAAGTTAAAAAAAATAAAATGGTAATAATTTTATTTTTAGTTTCAATTAGCAGAATGGAAGAAAGTAGCATTGTTCTATTTAAAGAAGATGAAAACATACATTATACAATCAAGTTAAAGTTATTGTTTTAAACATGTACAGTACAGGTCTGAAAAGTTTTGCAGTGAGAAATTTGTAATGACATTAAAGTTATTTGTGTGGCATTGCATACAAGACTGATAAGTTGTACGTCTTGCATTTTCACTTTACAGTAGATTGCATTAGTGCTTGCTCACAGATGTTCTGGGTTTTAGATTACAGTTTTTGGAAGATTTCTTTTCTGATCACATATAAATTCCTGTGGAATCTGGCTTGCTAGGCATTTGGATCTCACTCCCTAGATTTTGGGATCTCTGGGGAACATTTCCAACATCTGCTATAGGAGTAACTGCATCATATACAAAACTTCACTTTTAATAAAACTTTACTTAAACCTTTTCCACTGCACAGTAACTTTTTGGATACCCTGTACAACTATTTTAGACATCAAAATTTACTTTACAGTGACAAAAAGCATAAGAATTTAGTTTATTAACACCACAATTATTGATCCATGTGTCTTACTCATCAATGATACTGACTAACTGCTCATCAAAATAGATCTTGAAAAGTCTATTTTTTGTTGACAGACCGTACATGCACTATTCAAAAGTGAAATTGCAACAACATGAAGGAATGTGCTTAGCCAAATGCAAATTGCTTGACTGGTAGAGGTGATAGAATAAGCAAATGATTAGGTTTGTGTATGCATCAGGTTGTGGTACTCAGTTTCGCTATAAAGACCAGCAGCTGGCTCGGGCTGTAAATGCTATCAACAGTGGTTCATGACAGCCAAACTTTTGAAGAAGTGCAGAAAATTCTTTGGAGACTAGGGAATGAGACAATATCCTGGAGCTGTGCAACCTCAGTTTGTCTATGCATGCAGTTGTCACACATGTTGGGCATGATGTGAGTACCATCCAGCAATGTGGGACACGCTGGACACAGAAACATCTATGAACATATCAAAGAGGAAGTGGATTGAACCAGCACATGACAGCGCAAGCAGACTGGTAGATTCGCTGAATGGCCTGTTGTCACGTCATGACAAACAGGTTTCATCTGAATCTGTCTGTCGCTATCAACAGGTGCACCTGTGTTCACTCAAACCATTTGCAATAGGTTGCATGATGTTGGGCTGCAAGCACAGCAACCAGCAACCAGGGTGCCATTAACCTCCCAACATAGGGCTGCATGCCAAGCATGCAGCCCTGTGTTGGGAGGTTAATGGCACCCTGTGCAGGGCTGCATGCTTGGCATGGTGTCATCATTGCAACTGGACCACTGAATGGCATCAGATATTGTTTATGGATGAATCTCACCTTTGTCTTTGGAGGAATTATGGTTATGGATGGGTGTGGCAGTATCCCGAGGAATGCTACGTGGCAGCCCTTTTCACCGAGCATTATTCCGGTTCCACATCAGGCATCATGGTTTGGGGAGGCTTTATGTTTGATCAGCAGACAGCCCTGGTGCACATCTCTAGTGCTCTGAAAGCAGACCAGTATGTCACACAAGTTGTGGGGTCTGTGGTTCAGCCACTGGTACAGCTGCACTCAACATGGTGTTTCAGCAAAATAATACCTGACTGCAAGTCACATGGTAAACTCTCACCATCCTGAATGAAATTCACATCCTTCCCTGGCCAACAGCCTTGCTGGCTCTCTCTTCCATTGAACACCTGTGGGACTTCATCCAATCTGAGATGCACCAAGGACCACCACCATATATTATAGATGACATGCACACTGCAGTGAATACAGCTTGGCAAGACATGCGTCAGGCAATCATTAGTTGCCCATGGGGGCCATATTTGTTACTGAATAAACAGGTGTTTGTTGCATATCTCTGTTAACTCTACTGGGGACCTATTCTGAGTAGTATCATTAAGCTAATGAATACGATAAAAACCAGTTTCTATCAGAACCACGTGATTTGCATTTAATCAACTGTGAAAATGCTATTCTGATCTGTACATTTTGTTTTTGGTTCCAATAGCCACACGCGATAACTAAGCTTTTGTTATTGATCACTCTCGAGCTGCCGTTAGGAACGTAACAAAAGTGAAAACAACATGGTGTCTTTTGGTGTGTAAGAACGATTTTACTTCACGAGCAATTGGAGAGAGAGTTAATAAACTTTGTTGTTGTATTGCTTAAAAATAATAACTTTAACTATTTATGAATAGTATAATCGCTTTCTTGTTAAAATTTAAAGTAAGTAGCTATAGCATGAACATTATTTCTGAAATAGGTTTCATTCACATATGTATAAATTAAAATGATATTTATATATTTATATTCAAAGCTATCAGTTACTTTTTGCCATCTTTCTGGATCTTTTTGTGAGCCGACTTCATCAGAATTCAGATGATTGGCTATTTCTTGCCACAATTCTGGCGATCTTTTACGGTAAAGGAAACATTTAACTTCCCTGACATTAATTTAGGGTTGTCTTCCATAAGATTAACGAGCATCTTGAACTGGTGACTCATAATTCGCTGGCTTCGTTGTCCTTTCTTCGACATTTTAAAACAAAATATTTTACTAGCACTGGTACACAACAATGCCAAAACCATGTGCTTTTGCTTAGAAAATAGTGGGTTGCTGTCACGTGATGAAAATATAATGTTAACTAAAGTGTGATTGGTTAAAGCATAATAGCTATTGATAGCATGGAACCCAGACACATTTCAACCGACTACCCATAGCAAAACCCACTTAACATGGAGCACAGAATAGCGATTTATCTAAGGTTCGTTAACTACCTTTTGCTAAGGGGACTTATCGAATGTTCCTGTGTATTGTTATCATTGAGTTATTGGAAGAGCTCAGAATGGACCCCCTGGTCCTGCAGTGTTCATGTGGCTATGCACATTTCTCTGTAGTGTTGTGATTTCACTTTTGAGGAGTGTATATAATAACAATAATAATAATAATAAATGCTAAAATAAATTCAAAATTATTAAAAAGAAAGTTTTTAGAGTTAGAGGTTTGAGTGTCTTTCGCTTAACTTCTATTTGCTATAGAAGGATAAAATAAGAAAACTTGAGTGTCTATTTCTAAACAAAATTCTAAATAATTTCCTGAGAATTATAATATAGAGAGGAGCCAATTCTTGTAAACTTGTTGCTTTTAAGATACAACTTTTGATAAGCATGTATAACAATAATTAAAGCGTGAGTTAATGCACTGAAAATGAACAGGAGAGAATTAAGGTGAGACATGGATATAGGTTATGCATGTCTTTGGTGGTTTTGGGAAATTATGGTGGCAGATGAATGTACTTGCTATGTGCAAAGGATTTTACATGATTTTTTTTAAAGATGTTTTTTGTACAGGTAAATAAGTCTCTTACTGTACAAAAACATATCTTTACCATCACTTTAAAGTCTAAAATCATCATATACTCATTGTCTATCAAAAGTACCAGATGGCTATACAGTAGATCCCCCTATAAGACGGTAGATACGTTCCGTTCTTTATGAATCAATTTTGTAGGAATCATAGTTTACGGACTACGGCTGTTTGAAAGGTTTTCTTTCATAAAATTAATCGATTCTAGACTAATTCGACTCAACATTTCCAAAATACGTATATTTTTTTGAAAATAATCCGTATAAACTACGTTATNCAGTTGTTAATATACAAAAATAAATAATATATACGGTGGTGGTAATACATTCATTGTTAAACGATAGCCCGAAGTACAAACGATGTGCGATATGGAAAAATTGTTTCCTTAAAAAACTCAAATTTATGTTTTGTGGCTTTGTAAATAATATTTCCACGACTGTGGAACAGGGATATTGTCGGTGTTGATGCAATTTCCCTTCATTTCCGCTTTATAAATTTCAATAGCCTCCAACGAACGTAATTCGTGTCGGTCAAATGCCCTGTGTAAAAGCGTAGCTTCATTCCAACAAGGAGAAACCCCGGGTTCGGTAGCATACTGGGCTAGAGCAGTATTATATCTCCCCTTGGATACATCATACATGTGGTCTCTTACCCTAGCCTCTAGAGACCGATACGTGGACCCGATGTACGTTATACGTCTATTGAAGCGACTGTCTTGCAATGGAATGCGGTACACTCCTGGCGCTTTCCTGTCCTCGGACTTGTCTTTTGCATTAGATAAGATTCTAAAAATGTTCTGTTTTCTCCTATAAGATACGCGCAAGTTTAAATCCTTAGCAATTCTATTATAAATTTGTTGGAGTGATGGTTCGTAAGTTATAACCACCTGCTTGCGCTCTGCATCATTAAGCCTCGTGTCGGTGGTAGTTATCGTAGCTAGCTGGTTGGCAGCGAGCTTGTTTATTAAGGACTGTTGGTACCCGTGAGCAGCTGCTATATTCTTGATGTGTTTCAGTTCGTTATATGTATCAGAAGTGTCCGAGCAATGGGTGAACGCCCTAGCAACCAGGGCCCGGAAAGCCGCCACCTTAAACTGCCAAGGGTCTGCTGAGTTAGCTGGTATAAAGAGGGGAATGTATGTGGGCTCGCGGTAAATAGACGTGTTTAAATTATTATTCGCAATACTTATTTTGACATCCAAGTACCTAACCTCTGTGTGACTTTCCTGATCTAATTCTAGAGTTAGGCCGTAAGCGTTGCTGTTAAAAACTTTTAACACCTCTCTTATCTCAGGCTTGGTTTTCCATATGATTAAAATATCGTCTACATACCGCGTATAGCTAAGGATATTGTGTTGTAAGCCTACTAAGACTCTCTCCTCTAACTTACGTAAGACTAGTTCGCACAGATCCCCCAAGATAGGACTACCCATCGGTACTCCTCTTTTTTGGATGTATGTTTCACCATTAAAGTAGAAAAAGGAAGAATAGCATAATATATGCGACAGCTCTAATATTTGGGAATGGAATCTCTGGACGTCAGGTGTGGTGGTGAGAAAGAAATCTCTTAGTGCACAGAAACATGGTTCCAAACGAATGGAAGGGAACATCGATACAAAATCGAATACAGTAAGATATTCGTTCCCATTAAGATTTATATTATGGAGTTTGGCGAGTAGTGCGTTTGAATCAAAGACAGTAAAGCTGTATGCATCAAGGTGGTTTTTTAACAATTGATGGATACGTTTCTCTAATAAGAACGTAGGAGATCTGGATTTATCGATGACTGGTCTTAATTTTTGCCCGGGTTTATGCGTTTTGGCAAAAGCAAATAAGCGGGGGGTGTCAGGGGAGCTAACTACTGAGTGTTGAAGGCCTAAGATTGCGGCAAGGCCAGTGCGAGTGAATTTTTATAAAGCGGAAATGAAGGGAAATTGCATCAACACCGACAATATCCCTGTTCCACAGTCGTGGAAATATTATTTACAAAGCCACAAAACATAAATTTGAGTTTTTTAAGGAAACAATTTTTCCATATCGCACATCGTTTGCACTTCGGGCTATCGTTTAACAATGAATGTATTACCACCACCGTATATATTATTTATTTTTGTATGGTAACAACAGTTAGTTTTATGTATTTTTAATATATTTATTGGTATTTTTATTTATAATTATTTTATTTATACGTTGTAATACGGAACGATTTTGATATTCAAAAATCGTTTAAATGTTAAAAAAAATTAGAACACAGCTTTGTTCGAAAATTGTTAGATAAAACTGTTTTTCTGTTCGTTGTAATATTTTCCTGACGAGGGCCTCTGAAACACGGCCGAAAACGTTAGAACATTAAAGTTTTTTATCGTTCATGTGCTGGAATTAGCACTTAGGTGTGAAGTAGTAGTTTCGATATAGAAGTTTGCAATATGGAAGTTTGACTGTGTGTATGTATATATATTGAAATTAAATTTTAATTTAAATCAAGATCATAAAATTTAATTGAACTAAACAAAATGTAATTTAAGTTTATAAAAGTCTGAAATTATTTATTGAAGTAGAATCTTAATTTCTTACCAAGCAGAGTAATAAGTGATTTTTCTCAGGTTTTGTTTTTTTAATTTAATAATATATAAGTTTAAATCAGTACAATATAAGTTTTGTGTTTGTTAATTTAATATAAGCTTTAGGTGCTTTATGCTCTTTATTATAATTTAAAGATACTAATTGTTTGACAAATGCTAAAAACTATAACAATATTGTAGGAGCACAGCATTTATCTACTACTGGCCTCAAGCTTCTTTCAGATTTATGTGTTTTAGCAAAACCTTTCTCTACGACAACTTTAGCTAAGCAACTAGGTATGATGAGAATAATAGTTTCATCCCCAGCCATGCCAAGGCTATTCGGATTTGCTAAAACACATAAATCTGAAAGAAGATTGAGGCCAGTAGTAAAAACTATAACATACTTTTTGAATCATCAGATGTTAATGCATCCAATTAATTAATATTTTAAACAAATAGACATTTGATTTCATTACTTTTAATGTTGCAGAATTATGCAATGTATCAAACTATCAATTAAATTTTAGTTCAAAAATTTTCAGCTATCAGCATGTGGGAATCGTCTTTCGAGAATGTATGGAGTTGCAAAACTGCATCACCTTGTCCATCTTGATCTGTCAAATAACAATATTGCATGGATAGAAGGTAAATAATTATAAAGATTATATTTTAAATAGCTGTTTGTTTAGACATAAAGCCATAAAGACATAAATGTTACCATATAAATAAAATATATTTTAAATTCTTAAAAATATGTCCTTTCAAGATTCAGAAAATTTTGTCATCTTCACTTTAAAACATAATGATAATTCAGTACAAGAACTTTTTTGATAGACTTTACTGCCATAATAAATAAATTCCTTTTAAGGGATGGACTGGTGAAGAAACACTTTTTCATGATGTCTTTGACCTGTTTCTGAACTACTATAATATTAAATTTATGTATTATTAATTTTTGCATATAAATATTTCTATATAGTTATATAGTAAAATTTCAATTTAATGGTTTTCAAGGAACTGGTGAAAAAATATTCTAAATCACAGAATATCTAAAATTTGAACATCCTTAAAACATGCCACAATGTATAAATACATGTGTATATGCATTCAGAATGGATAAAATGAAGAAAAACACATATATTACTAGTATAAATGCTTCCATGAAGTCCTTTATTTTATCCAATATAATGTACAGTACAATGATCAACACCTTCTAGACATGTTTTACACAAGCATAATAAACTGTTAAGCTGTTTTTTGAAAGTAGTCAAGGATACTTATTTGTTTCCTGTTGAGTTTTTGGCATATCTTCTTCACTGCAGTTTTTAAGTTTGAAATATAAAGATACAAATAGTATTCTTTTCAATATCATCACCACTATTGTGCATTGTGCTTCTTTATGCATTATACTTGTTCCATAGTGTATTGGTTTGTAGCTGCATGGGAATACTGTGTCTGGACTGCAGAATCCATAGTGAACTTCAGACTGTCGTGGTATTGGCAAGTTGTATTTACATTAAAGTTAAAAAAAATAAAATGGTAATAATTTTATTTTTAGTTTCAATTAGCAGAATGGAAGAAAGTAGCATTGTTCTATTTAAAGAAGATGAAAACATACATTATACAATCAAGTTAAAGTTATTGTTTTAAACATGTACAGTACAGGTCTGAAAAGTTTTGCAGTGAGAAATTTGTAATGACATTAAAGTTATTTGTGTGGCATTGCATACAAGACTGATAAGTTGTACGTCTTGCATTTTCACTTTACAGTAGATTGCATTAGTGCTTGCTCACAGATGTTCTGGGTTTTAGATTACAGTTTTTGGAAGATTTCTTTTCTGATCACATATAAATTCCTGTGGAATCTGGCTTGCTAGGCATTTGGATCTCACTCCCTAGATTTTGGGATCTCTGGGGAACATTTCCAACATCTGCTATAGGAGTAACTGCATCATATACAAAACTTCACTTTTAATAAAACTTTACTTAAACCTTTTCCACTGCACAGTAACTTTTTGGATACCCTGTACAACTATTTTAGACATCAAAATTTACTTTACAGTGACAAAAAGCATAAGAATTTAGTTTATTAACACCACAATTATTGATCCATGTGTCTTACTCATCAATGATACTGACTAACTGCTCATCAAAATAGATCTTGAAAAGTCTATTTTTTGTTGACAGACCGTACATGCACTATTCAAAAGTGAAATTGCAACAACATGAAGGAATGTGCTTAGCCAAATGCAAATTGCTTGACTGGTAGAGGTGATAGAATAAGCAAATGATTAGGTTTGTGTATGCATCAGGTTGTGGTACTCAGTTTCGCTATAAAGACCAGCAGCTGGCTCGGGCTGTAAATGCTATCAACAGTGGTTCATGACAGCCAAACTTTTGAAGAAGTGCAGAAAATTCTTTGGAGACTAGGGAATGAGACAATATCCTGGAGCTGTGCAACCTCAGTTTGTCTATGCATGCAGTTGTCACACATGTTGGGCATGATGTGAGTACCATCCAGCAATGTGGGACACGCTGGACACAGAAACATCTATGAACATATCAAAGAGGAAGTGGATTGAACCAGCACATGACAGCGCAAGCAGACTGGTAGATTCGCTGAATGGCCTGTTGTCACGTCATGACAAACAGGTTTCATCTGAATCTGTCTGTCGCTATCAACAGGTGCACCTGTGTTCACTCAAACCATTTGCAATAGGTTGCATGATGTTGGGCTGCAAGCACAGCAACCAGCAACCAGGGTGCCATTAACCTCCCAACATAGGGCTGCATGCCAAGCATGCAGCCCTGTGTTGGGAGGTTAATGGCACCCTGTGCAGGGCTGCATGCTTGGCATGGTGTCATCATTGCAACTGGACCACTGAATGGCATCAGATATTGTTTATGGATGAATCTCACCTTTGTCTTTGGAGGAATTATGGTTATGGATGGGTGTGGCAGTATCCCGAGGAATGCTACGTGGCAGCCCTTTTCACCGAGCATTATTCCGGTTCCACATCAGGCATCATGGTTTGGGGAGGCTTTATGTTTGATCAGCAGACAGCCCTGGTGCACATCTCTAGTGCTCTGAAAGCAGACCAGTATGTCACACAAGTTGTGGGGTCTGTGGTTCAGCCACTGGTACAGCTGCACTCAACATGGTGTTTCAGCAAAATAATACCTGACTGCAAGTCACATGGTAAACTCTCACCATCCTGAATGAAATTCACATCCTTCCCTGGCCAACAGCCTTGCTGGCTCTCTCTTCCATTGAACACCTGTGGGACTTCATCCAATCTGAGATGCACCAAGGACCACCACCATATATTATAGATGACATGCACACTGCAGTGAATACAGCTTGGCAAGACATGCGTCAGGCAATCATTAGTTGCCCATGGGGGCCATATTTGTTACTGAATAAACAGGTGTTTGTTGCATATCTCTGTTAACTCTACTGGGGACCTATTCTGAGTAGTATCATTAAGCTAATGAATACGATAAAAACCAGTTTCTATCAGAACCACGTGATTTGCATTTAATCAACTGTGAAAATGCTATTCTGATCTGTACATTTTGTTTTTGGTTCCAATAGCCACACGCGATAACTAAGCTTTTGTTATTGATCACTCTCGAGCTGCCGTTAGGAACGTAACAAAAGTGAAAACAACATGGTGTCTTTTGGTGTGTAAGAACGATTTTACTTCACGAGCAATTGGAGAGAGAGTTAATAAACTTTGTTGTTGTATTGCTTAAAAATAATAACTTTAACTATTTATGAATAGTATAATCGCTTTCTTGTTAAAATTTAAAGTAAGTAGCTATAGCATGAACATTATTTCTGAAATAGGTTTCATTCACATATGTATAAATTAAAATGATATTTATATATTTATATTCAAAGCTATCAGTTACTTTTTGCCATCTTTCTGGATCTTTTTGTGAGCCGACTTCATCAGAATTCAGATGATTGGCTATTTCTTGCCACAATTCTGGCGATCTTTTACGGTAAAGGAAACATTTAACTTCCCTGACATTAATTTAGGGTTGTCTTCCATAAGATTAACGAGCATCTTGAACTGGTGACTCATAATTCGCTGGCTTCGTTGTCCTTTCTTCGACATTTTAAAACAAAATATTTTACTAGCACTGGTACACAACAATGCCAAAACCATGTGCTTTTGCTTAGAAAATAGTGGGTTGCTGTCACGTGATGAAAATATAATGTTAACTAAAGTGTGATTGGTTAAAGCATAATAGCTATTGATAGCATGGAACCCAGACACATTTCAACCGACTACCCATAGCAAAACCCACTTAACATGGAGCACAGAATAGCGATTTATCTAAGGTTCGTTAACTACCTTTTGCTAAGGGGACTTATCGAATGTTCCTGTGTATTGTTATCATTGAGTTATTGGAAGAGCTCAGAATGGACCCCCTGGTCCTGCAGTGTTCATGTGGCTATGCACATTTCTCTGTAGTGTTGTGATTTCACTTTTGAGGAGTGTATATAATAACAATAATAATAATAATAAATGCTAAAATAAATTCAAAATTATTAAAAAGAAAGTTTTTAGAGTTAGAGGTTTGAGTGTCTTTCGCTTAACTTCTATTTGCTATAGAAGGATAAAATAAGAAAACTTGAGTGTCTATTTCTAAACAAAATTCTAAATAATTTCCTGAGAATTATAATATAGAGAGGAGCCAATTCTTGTAAACTTGTTGCTTTTAAGATACAACTTTTGATAAGCATGTATAACAATAATTAAAGCGTGAGTTAATGCACTGAAAATGAACAGGAGAGAATTAAGGTGAGACATGGATATAGGTTATGCATGTCTTTGGTGGTTTTGGGAAATTATGGTGGCAGATGAATGTACTTGCTATGTGCAAAGGATTTTACATGATTTTTTTTAAAGATGTTTTTTGTACAGGTAAATAAGTCTCTTACTGTACAAAAACATATCTTTACCATCACTTTAAAGTCTAAAATCATCATATACTCATTGTCTATCAAAAGTACCAGATGGCTATACAGTAGATCCCCCTATAAGACGGTAGATACGTTCCGTTCTTTATGAATCAATTTTGTAGGAATCATAGTTTACGGACTACGGCTGTTTGAAAGGTTTTCTTTCATAAAATTAATCGATTCTAGACTAATTCGACTCAACATTTCCAAAATACGTATATTTTTTTGAAAATAATCCGTATAAACTACGTTATAAACAAAAAATTGTAGGATTGCTTACCGAGTGTGTACCGTTCGACTACGCCCGTTGCTAAAGCTTGGTTTCGTCGCGGAACAGCGCATCAAACCGCGGCCGCGATTTCTGATATTATTTTTCTGCGAAAACTTCGTTGACCTTTGGAGACATCCTTAATATAAATAATTTTTATGGCCGTTAAATAAGAAATGTTTCTTTCACAAGAAATGTATAAAATTACAGTACTGGACAGACGATAGGTCGCCTAACTCGCCGTAGCGTGACGCTAGACGGCGAAAAATATATATTTAATTATAATAAAGTTACAATAAATTAAGTTAATATATAATTATATATACAGTACCTAATTTATATATAATTAATATATAATTATATGTACAGTACCTAATTTATATATAATTATATGAACAGACGATACTAAACTCAATTTATCCGCCTAAACGTCCGTAGCGTGGCGCTACGGACGGCGGGAAAGTAGTTCGGCTGCCCGATGACGTTTTACGTATTATAGGAGTTATTTTTACCGTTGTTTACGGATACTGCCACAATTTTTATAGGAATCATAACTATAGGAAACGGTTTTATAGGGGGATCTACTGTAGTTAATTAAAGTAGAGGTGTACTTAAATTTCTAAACTTAACAAATATTGGACTTATCATACAGGATGTCCTGTATGATAAATCCTACATTTGTCAAGTTGAGAAATTTAAGAAGTATAACAATTGAATAGGACAAGAAGCTTTGAACACATTATGAAGTAGAAGTATTTTGAGGTTGATTTGTAAAATAATCTGTTTGGCCAATCTCAACCAAAATTGGTGAACATACTATTCATACCATGGAATTTCAATTTTTGTAATAAAAGTTTTTACTTCAGATTTTTTCCACCAGGGGAAAAATGGTGCTGTATTGGGAAAATGGTGTTCAGGCAAAATTTAGGCAATTAGATGTGCTAAGTATTCCTTTACAAGATTAGCCATATCCAACAGCTGCTTCTAGAGGATTGGAAATGTACCTGGATTTTTCCTACCTGTTCCTAGCTAACATCAGATGGAAGTGGATGTTGCATGGCCTTAGAATATTGTATGGAACAATGAAGCACATTTTTATTTGAATGGCATTGTCAATACACACAATTGTTACATTTTGGCTACTGAGACATCTCGTGTTTGATCAGATTCTTTTGCAGCCATGGAAAGTCACAGTGTGGGTGTGGTTTTACTACCTTATTCATAATTGGTCCATACATTTTTGAAGAATCCAAATCAACTGGGCCAGTGACTTGTTCTGTCATTGCAGTGAGATATTGATAAATGCTGCTCAACTTTGTTATTCCACAACTTCAGCGTGACTGTGTTTATGCAGGATCGTTATGTAGATAAGAGTTAAACATTAAAAATTAATTTAATAAATTTTGAATTGTATGACAAATACCATTAATTTTTTAAAATTATTTTTATTACAATTATACAACTATTTTCTCTCAATTTTTTCTTAAATGTTTTTCATTGAAATACTACATTATATGAAACTTATTTTTAATAGGCTTGAAAGAACTTACTCAATTATCAGTATTGAATTTATCCAGAAATAATATTAAGGTAAGCTTGAAATTTTAATTTATAGTTGCTTGTGAAATATTTATTTAGATATACTGGGCAATTGGAAGCCCTTTGATGTGGTAGCTATTTGAAGTGTTATGTCAAAAATGAGCAATGGAAGCAGGTGTGAGTTGTCAAAGTGTTTTAAATAGAGGAAAAATTCCATCCATACCATGTAAGCATAGAGCAGGAATTTTATGAATAGTTTTTGAAGTAGCATCAGGTGGTAGATGTATTAGCCCACAACATCATATTCAGTGACAATGCATCATTTCATTTAAATGACGAGTAAACAGGCATGATTGCATAAATAGGATACAATAAAATCTGTACATTTCAGTTGAAGCCTATTTCCAAGTGAACCTTGAACTGTATGTTTGTTGTGAATAGGTCCTATATTCACTTTATTGATGGAAGTCAACATCCAATTATATCTTAAACAAATACTTCAAAACACTCTGCTCCTCTACATTGTAGACCTTCCACAAAATAAATGAGTCATTAATGGCTGCTATGTCACATCATTCAGTATAAACAATCTTACCTTATTAAAAAACCCATGTTATATAAATTTTTTCAAAATTTGTTATAGTTTTAAAAAAAGTTATCAAGTTTAAAAAAATAAATATTTTGTTGTAAATTCTTGAAAATATTCAGACTACAGTGAGGTAGCTGAAGTGGTAAAGGCAACTTGTCACTCTAGGGACTTTGGTATCAATCTGGATTAGAAACTTTAGGAACTTTCTATTGATGGTTTGTCCAGATATGTTTAGTCCCATCTGTTACCACCCTGCTAGGACATGATGGTAAGGCTTGGAAAAAAAGTCTCTCTTAGTACCCATTGGGAAGAAAGTGAAAAACAAAAAATCCAGATTAAAAGTTTGATTTTTTTAATTTCTTGAATAATATAAAATCTATAGCTGTTATAAATTGTAAATATCGTGCCGGACAGCTGAGCAGTTAGGATGGCCTACCAGGATTGAATCTGGATGGGTTGAAAAACCTCAGGAATTTTTTGGGGTGGTCTGTCCAGAAAAGTCAGACTCTGTCCCTCACCACCAGCTGCCCATTGTGGGACTGGCCAAACTCATAATAGGCTTGCTAAAAATGTCCTTTTAGTGCCCGTAAGGTGGAAAGAGTTTAAAAAATAATTATAAATATTTAAATAATCAATCTATTGTATTTAAATAATTTTGTTTGAATGTAAATGAATAAAATGACTTGTTAAAAAAATTAATTTTATATATTTGAAAATATTTTAAAATATGCTTAATACAATATTTCTATATCAATTTTTTTAGTGTGTGCAGAGTCTTCAGCATTGTATAAATTTGACTCATATAGATTTATCAAAAAACATAATATCAGCTTTCACTGATTTATCTTATCTCACAAAACTTCAGGTAATTAAGAATCAATTTAATTTCACATATTATTATTATATTGTACATTGTTAATATTTGAAATTGGTATGAATATGATTATATATATTATTTAAATATAATTTTTATATATCTGAAGAATTTATAATGTAAATTCTTTTTGTTCACAGACACTTAATGTTGATGGAAATAAAATAACAACATTACAGAATGCATCTACATTCTTTCCACATTCATTATGTTCTCTTTCTTTAGCAGATAATTGTATAACAGATTTAAATGAGGTAAGAATTAATTTTAAACAGTTATATTTTCTATTTTATGTTACTTTTTAAAAATCATTTACTCTTAAAATTTAAGTTAAAAAGAACTAATTTGTATATAAACATAAACAAACTTAAATATAAATTTCATAAATTATATATTTATTTATTTATTTACTACTATTGTAAGGAATGGCTGAAAATATTTTAACCAATTTCTTATGTTTACTCTTTCCCTAATTTATTGCTGTTTCATAAGAAAAACATACCTTTATTTTGATATCCTACTGATTGATTTTCTAATTTATTTAATACTGGTTGAGGTTTAAGTAAAGTTAATGTATTGTGAGGCCGGGACATCACCTCCGGATGGAAACCGGCTGTTGAGCTAAAGTCAATAAATTGGTGACTTATTTCATAAATAGGACCGATGTGACCAAGGAACGGGGTGCGAGACAATTTAATTGTCACATTCTAGATCTAATTGACAGATCCGTGATCGTCAATTATGAGAATGAGAGAGGGATCGTTCACAGGGGTAACTTTGGACGGTCACCTTACAGAGAGTTCAAAGCGGGACCTGCTGACACTCCTGTGGAGGGAGTTGGCAGCTGGGACAGCTGCATCTTCTCCAGAACAGAAAAATACACATTGGGTAAAATTTACGGGTTTGTCATCTGGGAAAGGGCTTGATCAGACACCGGAGGGGAACGGCTGGGATGGAGATGTTCGGTGACCCCACAGCCCGAATCGTGTTCCTGGCAACAGACCAGGGACCAATAGAATCATAAGACCATCATTCGGATCAACCAAAATTTTGGGAAAGAAAAGATGATAAAAGCTCAAGGTCCCAAGGACACAGGGGAGGTGTGGTGTTCAAAAGCGTCAATCCTTGCACATGGACAGTGGATACTCTGACGATATACAAAGAAAAAAACCTAATGGATTCTGAGGAAGGACTGAGGAGAGATCTGACATCCTCTGGACGCAGGACCAACACAGAAACAATAAGGGACTCAACTTCCCTAAGATGTTCTCGTCACTCCGGGCCTCTCACACCCGATTCTATGGAGATCATCTCTGGAAAGACCGATGGATATTTGCTGGTTGGTGCACTCATCCAGGATCATCAGGGGATACAATACAGCGACCAAACATCTTTTTGGCCTAATCTGTAAGCATGATGCCTCTGTATGAATAAACACATTAATTTTGTATTTACAGTCTCTGTGTGAGTCTCTTTGCATTCAACAAACCACTACCCCATACATAAAAAGGCTTTCTCATGTCATGCTGACAGATCGCAGGCAAAGAGAGGGTTGTAACCTTTAACTGCAAGGTCGACACCCTCTAAAGTGAGTAAAGGAAGGTCAGGAAAACCCACACTGGTGTCGTCAGGGTTCCTTCCCCACAGTATTTATATAAAAATACACAAATACAAAATTGTGTATAAGGTAAAAGAATATTTACTTATAATAAATTTATAATACAACAAATTTGACCAAAAGTAATTTTTATATTAAAAGAAATTTTAGGGACTGGCAGTCTGATACAGGTAAAAATGTCAATTCATATACAGTAAAACCTGTCTATGGCGACCACCTAATGTTCCTTCAAAAAGTGGTCTTTTAGACAGGTGGTGCTGCAATACCATATTTCCATACATATTTTGTGCACTTTTTAGCCATTTCTACTAAGCAAAACTTGAGGTGAGCAAAAATAAGTGAATTTTTTCAACGATAGGGCTATGTTGGTATTGTATTTTATTCTTATCGGTTAACTCAATTTACAGGAATTGTGATTTTGTAAGACAGATTTAATACCAATATTTTAAAGATTAATACAATAGTCACATTTTCTCAATTATAATGCACACTTTCTTTTTTCTGACTTAATTAATTCAACTCGGTTGTTTTCGTTTGCTTCTCAGTTACATGTATTACGTCATCGATATACAAGCACTTCATATCTCTACATCACTTTGGTTTTGGTATTCGTTAGTTTAATCTTATCTTACTTTAAACTTTAAAAATACTGTATTTTTTAATATTTTCTTAAGTACAATAAGAAAAATTATTAATTAATAATAAAATGATTTTATTATTTTTTCTCATTATATGATTTCATTACATTCCGCTATTGTCATTGAGGAATTGAAAAAGGAAGGTTGCCTGTAAAACTGATTTTTGCATTAATGTGTTTATTGTTTTTTGAATATTTTGCATGCGAAAATTACTTGGACATTATTTTTCTAAAAATATTATGGAAATAAGATAGGTTGATACAGAAACTATTTATCGCACATGTACTGTATATCAGCTTCAAAATAAATAAATAAATTTTATCAAACGGTGAGATCAGATGATTAATTGTATCGTGTACAATATTTTATACCTCCAAGAAAAATACTGTAAGTCGACGGTAAAATAAATTTCGTTTTCCCACAATTAAACTTCTCCGCTAATTCTCCGCTAACTTTAACATGATCTTCTAATGACAGCACTTTGCATTTCTTTTGTTTTTCGGACAATTTCAAACAAACTGAAATTAATTTCCTTTGTTGCTAGACTAATTCATTGACACCTGCACCTAATTTCAAGGATGGGAGAAGTGTCCGAAGTGGGTTCGAACGAGAGTTTAGACTAATTCATTATATTAGGAGGGGGGAAAAGCTGTTGAACAATAGTTTAGACCTGATATATTCATGAAAGTGGTTGCTTATTACAGTTGTTATATGTTGTTTCGGACCAAAAATTGGACCTGTATTAAACAACCACCTGTGCCCGTGGTCACGTTACACAGGTGGTTGTTTAATACAGGTAACTTATGCAAAGACTCTATGGATAAACTATCCAGTGCCAGAAATTTTTGCCCATTTTGACAGGCGCCCATAGAATGCAGGTGGTCGCCTAAGCAGTTTTCACTGTATTCAGTACTACATAAATTTTCTCAAATAACAGGCTGATTCATCAAATTTTATTTGACTAGCTTTTACTGATGTCTCCTTTCACACGTTAATGATCACAGCATTAAATTGTATTCAAATTTTTGGGTTCACTTCACATCTACTGGCTTGCAGGCAAAACTTCCTATTTGTGATGTAGGCTGTAGGGACCTACTCACAGATAGAAACACTGGGTTGTGACTCCTGTTTACATAGGTGTTATTAGCTGATTATTAGAGTGTAGAGGATAGTTTCTTACTCCAAACATATAGTACTATATACTAGATATGTGGATAATGTCCTGATTACCTGGCACCAGAAACCTGACCTCTGGAGATCCTAAAATACATTACTGACAATCTGTATGGCCTACACAAAATATTTGAACAGAAAGGTCACAGTACATTCCATTTCTGGGATGTGCAGCTCATAATGCAGAGAGGCCTGATCCCCACAAGTGTCTACAGAAAACTACCCACTTTTCACACTAGCAGAGTCTCAGCACTCTTACACCTTCAAAATTGTGACATTCATAACATTGATCAGAAGAGAAATAACTCGCTACTCCAATATTCTTGGCAAAATTATGGAGTTTAAGTACATCAGGTAAATCACAGTTGAACATAGGTACTCCAAAAAAGAAAAAGGGAGGCTAATCAAGAAATATAAAACATACCCAATAGCCCACCCCACAGTACAGATGTGAGATTTCAAAATAGTGAAGTATAAAACCAAACTGTAAGAAAAATATACAGAGAAACAGCCTCAGTCAATAGATGCAAGATCAGTTATAGAAGAAGTCCTACAATATATAACTAATTAAGAAATGGCAAAGACTCTCTCCTGACAAAAATATGATTTCCAGGGATATGCATCATCCCATTAAAGGACCACAGATATACCAGAGCAACCTCACAATCCTTAACTGCTAGGATGAAAGAACACAAGGTGACAACAAAGAAAAACATCATCACATTAACAGCTTACACCATGAATGATGAAGTTGAAGTCAGTCTTAATGAGCCAAACTGAATAAATGGCTTGAAGTGCAGCCAACATAACACATATGAAAAGAGACTAAATTTACAAAAAATCCCAATACAACAATATAATCAGTTACAAGAATGTAGAAATTATCTCAAACTCATCAAAATCACACTATGAAACTTTGTCAGAATTGACGTCCACCACATTACTTCTGACTATACAAGGTCTGTTCAAAAAGTATCGGACCTTATTTTTTTCCGCGTAAACCAATGATGCGAGAGAGGCCTCCTTCGGTGGAGTTGTGGAGGGGACAGTCATGCACAGCCCTGAATTTTTTCCCGCCTGCAGAAAGCGTCAGTCGTTGGCAATCGGCGTATGAGTGAGGTCATGTAGTGCGCTCTCGTCGGATTTCACTAAGCTGGAAAATGACTGAACAACGTGAGCAGCGATATTACATCAAATTTTGCCAAAAACCTTGGCGATACCCGAGTGTAAACCATTCGCAAGATTCAGCAGGCTTTCGGGGACGATCCTCGAGGCCAAAAAAAGCGCGGCAGGTCCGCAGCAATATCAAAGGTCATGTTGACAGTTTTTTCGACTCTCGTGGGGTGGTGTGTCGTGAGTACGCACCACAAGGCCAAACCATCGCAAAGGAGTACTACCAGGAGGTCCTTCGTCGTCTTTCCGATACAGTGCGACGCAAACGACCGGATCTGTGGTCGATCAAAACTTGGCAGCTCCATCGTGATAACGCATCCGCCCATTCTGCGCATCTGATTCGGGCTTTCGTCGCCAAACACAATACTCCTGTGGTTCGTCACGCTCCGTACTCTCTCCACATGGCTCCGTGTGACCTTTGGCTATTTCTCAAGCTGAAAATGCCGCTAAAAGGAACCCAAATTTAGTCGAGAGAAGACATCGTGCAAAATGCGACTGATAACCATTCCAAAAGATGCGTTCCAGCAGTGTTTCCAGCAATGGCAGGAACGCTGGGAGAAGTGTATACATTACCAAGGAGACTACTTTGAATGGGATTAGGGTTTTGTACCTCAAAGTCAATAAATTTATTTTTGCCGACCAAAGGTCCGATACTTTTTGAACAGACCTTGTATATGTTTATTGTAATTTTTTAATGTATTATTGGATATAGTTGAAATAGCATGCCTATCTTATTTTTGTTATATTTTAAATAGTTTGTGTGTTATCATGGATGACACATCAATTTCTGAAAGCAAATTGTAGATGGAATTTCATAAATTTTGAAGATGCATTCCAGTATTTATATTTTATGCAATTTGAATGAGATAAATCTGATGATAATTGTTTAACATGGTTGAAAATATTCATTTATTAAAAGTTGTTAATGTGTTGGAGTTTAAGGGTAGTTTTGTTTTCTTCAGTTTTATAGTGTATATATTTTAGTGAACAAAAAAAAAATATTTTGTTTAACAAGCTTTGCTTGATTTGCTTAATTAATTTTAAGAATGTGTTGTGTTTTTTTTTTTTTGTAATTTTACGTTTAGTTCTAATTACATTTGTTTTCATATATGTAATTCCTTATTATTTTTAATGTAAGATATACTTTGAAATCTTATACATAAACAATAGATTTTATAACGTTTAGAGCTGATCACATAAATGGTATATTTACAAAATTTTAATAAAATTATAACTAGAAAATCAACTAAAATATACAACTAAAGCACAAATACTAACATTTAGAGTACCTAAATTCAGTAATGTATTAGATGCATTGTTCAGTTAGCATGTTGGCCAAATTGGTATTTGTTATTGACTATATTAAACATCTCTTAGAATACATTTTCATGTTAGAAGTTATTTGTAGTTAAATTAAATTACAAGTTTAAATAATTACATTTATGAATAATGTTGCTAACTATTCTTATTCTCTATAAGATTAAAGAAATCTAACAAATATCTACTGTAAAATAAAATATTAATTATATTAGTACTTCAGTTTTTAAGAAATTGCAATGAAAATTGCATAAAATAGTTTTATAAACATTCTTGAGCATTAAATGCATTCAATCTGTAATGTAACCTGCCAATTAAATATTTTTTTTAATGTTTACTTTATTAAGTATTTCTTTTGAAATATCACACAATTTCTCTTGAGAATTAATTATAGGAAAATATAAATTTAATGGCAAAAATTGTTTAAATATGAATTAAATTAGCTAGCCAGCTGTTATCCTTACATTTATTTTTTTAATACGTGCTTACATTTCTCACACTAACTCATAAGTATTATGTAATTAAAAGAATGTATGAATGTCAGATTTACTTCACACAGTTTTTATTCTATGTAATTTTTGTATATTACAAATTCACTGAATAATGCTGATTTAATGATTTATATTGCAAAATGATAAGCAACATTTTTTTCAAAACGATTTTATTAAACTTTTTAATGTTTTTTTATGTATTAAAGGTTATATATTAATATGATTTATTGATTAAGTTACATAAAATTTGATTGTGATGTTAAATTAATTGACAAACATATTTGTATAACAGATATCTTATCTGTATGGGCTGCCGTGTCTTGAACAATTAGCTATTGCCAATAATCCAGCAATATTGATGACAGGACAATTAGCGTATCCTTTTACTTTGATAATTTATATTTGCTTCGAATAAATTAAATGGCTTTGAAAATTTTCAAAAATGTAATACTGTAATCATCATTCCAATATACATTTATATTGACTACAGGAATATATTTCATTCAAGTTTTTACAGTTTTATAAGAAAATGAACAAATATATCTGCTTATTTTTTTATACGTAGACTATTTAATTTAGAATTTTTGAGAGTTATGTTTATAATATATATATAATAGTAAATTAAAATTAAATCATTAATCAGTTTAATTCATCTTGAGGAAGCTGATTTGATTTCATGTTTACATTTGAGACTAATAAATTTATTTTCTTAACTTTATAAAGAGGATTTGATTATAGACCATTTGTTGTCAACTGGTGTTTAGGTATAAGATTACTTGACGGATTTGTAGTTACTCAGAAAGAAAGGTGAGTTTATATAAAAGTTAAATCAAAAAATGGAAGATTTATATTTAAAAATTTTAATGGAATTTTTTTAATGATTTTTTTTTAACAGTCTAAAAGCTGAATGGTTATATAGTCAAGGGAAAGGTCGACATTTTCAGCCAGGAGAACATATTGAACTAGTAGAATATCTGTCTCAAGTTTGTCCACTAACAACAGCTGATCAAGTATGATATATATGTTTATTATATAAATTTAAGTAACTAATAAAGAGTAACATTAAATTCTAAATTTCTTATTAAGTTTTAGTCAGCTTGTCAAAATCAAAAATAATTAACAAATGTGTTTGACTTAAATTTAGAACTAACTAAATTTAATTAAAAACATTTATTTTCAATTTTAATTAATATTTGATCCATTCTACATATGTTTAATTATAACCAAAAAGCATAATTAAATATGTACTAAGTCAGGTAAATAAAGTTTATAGATATACAGTAGTGTCTCGATAGTCTGAGTTGATAGGGAATGAGACACTTTTGAACTATCAAAAATTTAATATATAACATATAGAATATATATACAATAGAAAACAGTAATAAGTAAAGACATGTAAAGACAGTAAAATGTCATGTTTATTTTATTGGCTTAAAATACATTGTCCTGTACAATATAGTGCAAATGGTAACTATATTTGAAAGTATCTGGCAACTATATCATTTCAGAATGCAATAAATTGAAAGCCAATGCTAGGCTGTGTTCTTACTGCTGACGACGATGACAAAAACTGATGTTTTTATTGTTGTTGTCTGTTTTTTGTCTGTAAAATGTTCACACTAGTTGTTATTGTTGCTCTTTTGTCTTAGTCATTCATTGTTTGAAAGTTAGCTGAGATTCAACATTTGTTGTTGTCATAACAGTATTGGCCAATCAATGTGAACTTCCCACAATTCTTTGAATATGATGTGGAACTGCTAATCTCTCGTGTTGAAGAAAGAGGAGGCTCTACAAAGCTTAAATTATTAATAGACATCAAAAGTATTTGGAGGTATACAAAAATAATTTAAAAATTCTTTGATGTGTTTTAATCATAATTCCTGGACTAAAGCATGGAAATTGCCTTGTGTTTTTCTCTTAAAATGAATGGCAGTTACTGGCAAAATTCACTATAAAACAAGCATTTAACCCATGAAAGAAAAAGATGCCAACTAAAATGAAGCTCTAATCCACCACCAACATTTTGATATTTTCCTTAATAAAAGTAATTAATTCGCTCTCAACATTAAAAAATTAACAGTTTACTTTTCATGTCCATTTTTAAACCAGAGAATATAAAACAAACACCTTTCTCTATTCCAGCACACTTTTAATGCGTTGAATAACGTTTTCGATCGTTTTAATCGATCATCCTCAGTTCAAAATTCGAACTCTACAACGAACAAAGTATTCGAAAAATACAAAAAATTTTTTTACATCGCTAATTTAATTATATTAGTACTTCAGTTTTTAAGAAATTGCAATGAAAATTGCATAAAATAGTTTTATAAACATTCTTGAGCATTAAATGCATTCAATCTGTAATGTAACCTGCCAATTAAATATTTTTTTTAATGTTTACTTTATTAAGTATTTCTTTTGAAATATCACACAATTTCTCTTGAGAATTAATTATAGGAAAATATAAATTTAATGGCAAAAATTGTTTAAATATGAATTAAATTAGCTAGCCAGCTGTTATCCTTACATTTATTTTTTTAATACGTGCTTACATTTCTCACACTAACTCATAAGTATTATGTAATTAAAAGAATGTATGAATGTCAGATTTACTTCACACAGTTTTTATTCTATGTAATTTTTGTATATTACAAATTCACTGAATAATGCTGATTTAATGATTTATATTGCAAAATGATAAGCAACATTTTTTTCAAAACGATTTTATTAAACTTTTTAATGTTTTTTTATGTATTAAAGGTTATATATTAATATGATTTATTGATTAAGTTACATAAAATTTGATTGTGATGTTAAATTAATTGACAAACATATTTGTATAACAGATATCTTATCTGTATGGGCTGCCGTGTCTTGAACAATTAGCTATTGCCAATAATCCAGCAATATTGATGACAGGACAATTAGCGTATCCTTTTACTTTGATAATTTATATTTGCTTCGAATAAATTAAATGGCTTTGAAAATTTTCAAAAATGTAATACTGTAATCATCATTCCAATATACATTTATATTGACTACAGGAATATATTTCATTCAAGTTTTTACAGTTTTATAAGAAAATGAACAAATATATCTGCTTATTTTTTTATACGTAGACTATTTAATTTAGAATTTTTGAGAGTTATGTTTATAATATATATATAATAGTAAATTAAAATTAAATCATTAATCAGTTTAATTCATCTTGAGGAAGCTGATTTGATTTCATGTTTACATTTGAGACTAATAAATTTATTTTCTTAACTTTATAAAGAGGATTTGATTATAGACCATTTGTTGTCAACTGGTGTTTAGGTATAAGATTACTTGACGGATTTGTAGTTACTCAGAAAGAAAGGTGAGTTTATATAAAAGTTAAATCAAAAAATGGAAGATTTATATTTAAAAATTTTAATGGAATTTTTTTAATGATTTTTTTTTAACAGTCTAAAAGCTGAATGGTTATATAGTCAAGGGAAAGGTCGACATTTTCAGCCAGGAGAACATATTGAACTAGTAGAATATCTGTCTCAAGTTTGTCCACTAACAACAGCTGATCAAGTATGATATATATGTTTATTATATAAATTTAAGTAACTAATAAAGAGTAACATTAAATTCTAAATTTCTTATTAAGTTTTAGTCAGCTTGTCAAAATCAAAAATAATTAACAAATGTGTTTGACTTAAATTTAGAACTAACTAAATTTAATTAAAAACATTTATTTTCAATTTTAATTAATATTTGATCCATTCTACATATGTTTAATTATAACCAAAAAGCATAATTANAGTACTCAGTAAATAGGAGCCTTGATAGCACGGTCCTCGCAGCGTTTGCAAAGCAACAGGGAATTGAAGTATACTGGGATCAGGCAGAGATTATTAAACCTACAACATCGATACAAGCGGTGAAACACCTGGAAAAAGTTGAAATATACAAGGCACATACGACTGCGCAGTGCATCAACTACAGAGACGCCGAAAGTTTATCAACAGCATGGAGGTCCTTTTATGATGGCATAGATTAAATATAGCAACCGCATACGCGGCGTTTTTATAATATTAATTGATATAGAATATTGTTATTTTTTAATTACTTAGATTTAAACTTATACGTTTTATAGGTATGCGCATGCGCTTTAGCATTAAGTCGTAAATTAGCGATGTAAAAAAATTTTTTGTATTTTTCGAATACTTTGTTCGTTGTAGAGTTCGAATTTTGAACTGAGGATGATCGATTAAAACGATCAAAAAAGTTATTCAACGCATTAAAAGTATGCTGGAATAGAGAAAGGTGTTTGTTTTATATTTATTTAATACTTCCAGTAAGAATTTAGTTATTTAAACCAGAGGCAAGTCCAGTCTAAAGTGCAAATTCCACAGAATAATGCTAAACCTAATGTAAATTGTGCATGCTCTAAGACTAAATTAGTGAACAATGTGAATGCTTTGGAGATGAACAAATACAATTAAAGACAAGCCATTGTTATTTAGTATCTATGGTCATTGTCATCAGGAGTATGAATGCAGTCTTAGATTTTTCATTGTGCTTACAATTTTAGTGTATGATATCTCATCACACATTTGATATGAATTATAAATATAAACATCCATAAACTTAATTCTTAGATTAATGCTAAATGATTGCCAAATTATATTGGGCTGTATTATTGCTACTAATTACTAATTAAATGTCAAGTAATTGGCCTAGAAGTAAGTATTAGGTGCCATCTCTTGATAAATTTAATTATAATTCTGGAAGCAACGATTGGACAGAGGTCTGGGTAGCGTAACTGGCAATGCATATGCATGGTAAGTGTGAGTTGCAGGTTTGATCTTGTTTCGGGCCAATTTTTTTCTTCTAGAACATTATAAATTAATTATTAAAATATTAATTACTTGCCTACAACTATATTAAATAACTTATGGATACAAATTCACTGAGTTCAGCGTTAATAAAGTTCCTTTAGTATTAACACAAGCACTTTCTGCTGTAAAAGTTTGTCCGATGGAGAATTATTTCTAATAAAATAAAATTGAAGACAAAACTGTCCAAAAGGATCACCATTTATTACAAGCACTTTCGAAGAATATATAATCGTCGTCTTCAGGTGAAAAGAACAAATTTTAACAAGACAAACGTGCAGGATATTCCAAAAGAACAGAATATTTAAATTCAAACAGGCGTCCAGAAATTCCGTTAAGAACGTGCAAATAATTTTTGATATGTTCGAATTTTTATATTTTACGATGCTAGCGGCGCATGCGTGGAAATGCTACCGCGTTGGCGATACGATGTTAGGCGCGTTTCGTTTTTTAGGCGCCGATATAAGGCAATCCACACCCCGGGTAGATCGTGGGTGGGAACATTGCACGCTTCTGAAGTAGCCGTGAGAAGCGCTTCCCAGATAAACACAAGCCTTCGATTGTTGCAGCATTTGATTATTTCCGTTCTGGCCATAACAGGTTGTAGCCTTGCTCGAGAACTTTTTTAGCGAGCTCTGTAGAACATTTTCCTTTGGCTACGTCATCCTGATGCTCAGCAAGTCGGGAGGCGAGCATTCTTGTTGTTGCTCCTATGTATCTTGTAATATTTCCCGTTACCGGATTTTCTAGGTGTATCTTGTAAATCTCTGACTTTTCTAAAGTGGTTAGCCTGTCCCGGTCGTTGCAGATACATCTGCGTAGGTTTGGTAAGAAGGTTATGGGTAGTATGAAATAACCCCCTACCAAACCTACGCAGATGTATCTGCAACGACCGGGACAGGCTAACCACTTTAGAAAAGTCAGGGGTTTACAAGATACACCTAGAAAATCCGGTAACGGGAAATATTACAAGATACATAGGAGCAACAACAAGAATGCTCGCCTCCCGACTTGCTGAGCATCAGGATGACGTAGCCAAAGGAAAATGTTCTACAGAGCTCGCTAAAAAAGTTCTCGAGCAAGGCTACAACCTGTTATGGCCAGAACGGAAATAATCAAATGCTGCAACAATCGAAGGCTTGTGTTTATCTGGGAAGCGCTTCTCACGGCTACTTCAGAAGCGTGCAATGTTCCCACCCACGATCTACCCGGGGTGTGGATTGCCTTATATCGGCGCCTAAAAAACGAAACGCGCCTAACATCGTATCGCCAACGCGGTAGCATTTCCACGCATGCGCCGCTAGCATCGTAAAATATAAAAATTCGAACATATCAAAAATTATTTGCACGTTCTTAACGGAATTTCTGGACGCCTGTTTGAATTTAAATATTCTGTTCTTTTGGAATATCCTGCACGTTTGTCTTGTTAAAATTTGTTCTTTTCACCTGAAGACGACGATTATATATTCTTCGAAAGTGCTTGTAATAAATGGTGATCCTTTTGGACAGTTTTGTCTTCAATTTTATTTTATTAGAAATAATTCTCCATCGGACAAACTTTTACAGCAGAAAGTGCTTGTGTTAATACTAAAGGAACTTTATTAACGCTGAACTCAGTGAATTTGTATCCATAAGTTATACAAACATTGGCGTGAGTTTTAAATTTATTTTTACTTATATTAAAAAACTTGACATTTAATTAGTAATTAATTGATTTTATCATTTTCTGTGTTTGGAAATAATTGCAAATATATCCTTTGGCATTGAAATAATTAAATTTTGCAGTACTCTAACACTGATTTCTGCCACTCTCTTATGATGGCTAATTTCAACTCTCTAACTGTTTAGAACAACTGTCTTTCATTTTGATGCCCCCATAGATTTTTGATATGGTTTGGGTCAGGCAAGAATGCTGACTAGTCAATTATACTGATGTTTGATGCAAACCAACATTTACTTCGAACATCACTTATAGCAATATGTATGGGTGCATCATCATGTTGGAATTTCCGTTTTGCCCTTCTGATTTTTTGCCAATAGAAAGGATATGTTCTGTTAGTACTTTCTGATATGCTGTGCATTCATTCACTGATTTAGAAAGACAATTTCAGATTTTCCAAGCTTTCCAAATCATTACTGACCCAGGTCTTGGATTTATTTAAAATAAACTTGCTCTTCTTTTCTGATGTTGTGCCAATAGTGTTGATATCCATCTGGGCCATCCAAGTTGAATGTTTTATATCACTGAAAATGATTTCTTGTCACTCAGCTGTCTACTTATCTTTATCTTTGCTCATTCTTGCTATCTTATGGTAAACTTTCATACAGAGCATCTTGTTTGAATATTTTAGAGTAGAAGAAGAGCAAAGCACTCTTCCAATAGTCCATTTTGAAGCAGAATTTGGTTTGCAGTAATATTTATGTTACTAGCAGATTGTCAAATCATTTTTTTTTTGTTAAGGTTTGAAGGTGAAGATGACCTTTCACTTCATTTCTTACTGTGATAACTGTTTGGATTGTTGTTGTATTTTGTTATGACATCTCTAGAGCATTGAAAGGTAGCAAATATTTCACTTGTTGACTTGCCATTTGAGTGTAAATCATCAATTTGATTTTTTTCAAAGTCAGTTAGCATCTTTTGTCAAGGCATAGTTAAAAATGTGGTTAAAGTTTAAGCTGTAACTTACATTTTGCCTTTTTAAGTAAAGAAAATGCAGTGCTGATTTATATTTAGCATTATGCATTAAAAATTTGTATATTCTTACCATGGTAATCTACTTGTACATACTGTATTTGGCATATAATTTTGCACCACTTTGAAATAGCTATTTTTGCATAACTTATGTTTGGATTAATCAAACAGGATGGTTTTTGATGTGTGTCATTAGAAGATGATGTTAAAAGTTATGTAAAATTTCGTCCATCTACTTGAAATAATTCAAAACATTTTTTTTTAAAAATTACACTGGTGTATAATTCTGCACTGTACTGTATTGGAAACTCAAACTGTTGAGAATCTACTATAGTTATAAATTCAATATGTATTTTTGTTTGTCAAAGCTGTAAACAGTCTTTAAGCTTATAACAATGTCTTGATTAAAAAATTGATGCTGAAAAGTTGAATTATACTGTTATTTTATAATATATTTGAAAAAATACCACTATAAAATTTGTTATCTAAATGTATTTTTTAAAGTTTTTAAAAGTTTTATAATATTATAGTTGATAGTTGAAGAAGAGGAACGTTTAACGAGAATCCTAAGAATGCAAAGACAGCATAGAGAAGAATTACTGCATGAGATGTCAAACTCTCCAAAAGAACAAAGGAAATGGACTCAGCAGTCACCTTTACGAGAACAATTACAATCCTCTGATGACAAAAGCCACATGTCACCAAAACTTTCTTCACAGGACAGAGGTTTGTTTAGATTATGCCTGAAATTGTTTAGATCTAAGTTTTTAATTAATTCTAATGAACATTTATTTTTAAGTAGAGTCTCGAGTGAATGTTCATAATTCGTCAGAAAATGGTTTTTTGCCAGATAAGTTACAAAAAAATGAACAAGCTGTTACAAGTAATGAACTTTCTCAGTTAGAGAATAACAAAATTAATTCCAACAAACAAGAAAGAACAATATTTTCAACAGCAAAAAGTCCTGTTACAATTGAACAAATTCCAACGACTGAAATGTTGAAAAGTTGTTTTCAGTCATATGAAGATAGAATCATTCGTCCAAATCATAATATAGAAATGATCAAATCTGTAAATAGTATTTCGGGATCATATTTAAGCAATGTTGTTTCTAATACAACACCTGTCCGCAAAATATCAATTAAAAGATCCAGTACTCATTCTCCGTCGTCTCCTGCAACTGGAAGACGACCAAGAACACCACGTGCTCAATGGAAAAGTAGAGTGAGTTCTTCGAGAGGAAGTTCTCCCCAAGATACAGAATGTAGAAGAGCTCTTCATGCACGACATAATAGTGAAAGTGATACATCAGAAGAATGTGGTTGGCCATACAAAGCAACTGGAATTCAATCTCCTTTAAGACAAAGAAAGCAATCGACTGAAAAAACTACTAGGCATTCCAATTGTGCATCACTTAGACATTCATACAGTCAAACTCCCATCCATTCTGATCCCTCAAGATCTAAAACTCCATCATCAGTAAATAATAATGTTTGTAATGAAAACAGAAGGAATGTTAACAGGATTTTACAAAGTGGTTCACTTATTCCGTCACCTTGTAATTCTCCAATAATTGGTTCCCGAGCTAGTAGAAGCCCCATTAAGAAAAGTATATCAGATAATGTTATCTGTGTTACTCAACAACAGGAAAAGCTTAATGCTCAAAAACTGAAAAAGATGGAAAAGGCTGTAATTAAAATACAGTCAACATGGCGAGGCTATTACGCACGTCACTTTAATCCTGCAGTTTATGGTGCGCGACAAGAAATCCGATTAAGAAGAATGGAAGATAGTATTCAATTTCTTCATAATATAGTTTTGAGGTAAAGAATTAATTTGTTTCATTAAAAAATACTAATACAGTAGACATGTTTCATTGGAGACCTTGATTTAGCAACTCATTATGATTTAATGAGTAATAGATATGATTCCACAAGCATAATACTATTTTATTATAAAAACAGTACACATCTGAACCTTAAAATAAATTCCAGGATATTTTTATGAAAACACGAACATCTGCGCCATCATGAGATCACTCAAAGTAAGGCTTGCGGAACACAAATATGATATTGATAAAAGAAAATACAACACTGCCCTAGCCAGCTATGCCATGGACAACGATGTTCAAGCTTATCTAGATAAAGCTTCCATTATACTACAATCTAAGCATAATGACCAAATCAGGACACTGGAAGCTCTCAAGATATTCAAATTGGAAAAGAACATTAATTTCAAGGGAGAAGGACAATTATCTTATGCCTGGCAATTGTTATACCACAGGAACAGTTGATTTAAAAATTATTTTTAAAAATTTTAAATATTCTTGTTTATATGTTTTTTCGAATAATACATTTGTGAAAACTGAGGGGGCATAGCTTTGAGCTTCTCCCCGCTTACTGGCAGCTCGGTCAGAGAATGGCTTTATAGGAGGGCAAAAATGTGAGTGGGGAAGGAAATGGGTAAGTTGACAGGTTGCTGATTACATGCAAGGAGGTTATCGACTGAACTCAAGGATGACACAGCATTAAGTATAGAATAACAAACACATTTAATTAACTAATTAACTATCTGTACATATGCGCTCAAAGTGAAATGCTACAAAAGGGAATTACTCAAAATTATTCTATATCGCGACAAGGAATATACGCTTGTTGATTAACCGTCTAAGTTCTAGCTCTATAAAACATATTATTCTACTAAATTCAACTAACCTAAAGTAATCTATATCAGAGAGAGAGAGAGAAGAAACGAAAGAGCGAGGATCAAATTTAAATCAAATACCTCTCATGTTCTGATCTTGCTGTATGGGCATTGTTTATGAACTGTCCCCGGATCGGCTGACTCTACTTGTCTCTCTTTTCTATGTGTCTTACTATGGACTTGCACTCCGTTGATCTCTGACTGTAGAGGTCTGCATGGAGATGTCCGCTTAGGGTGTTTTCCTGGCAGGGTCCTCTTCGGCTGTCCGCCCCGAGGTTCAAGTGCCACCTTTTTTTATTCCTGTTCAGAGGGGGGGAAGTTCGGAGTACATTCTGATGCAATCCCGTGTAGGTTCGACTGGATGGGGAAAGTTTTGATTTCTGTCAATTAGTATAATTAATTCGGTAGAATTAATACTTTTGCTATCCCATCTTGTTACTCTTTCTAACTCATAAATTCGATAACAGTTGTCAAACTGACGGAATTAATTGCTGGAGGTGACTAAGGTTAGACTATGTATTGCAATCTTATTAATAATTGTTTGTTTGGTGGGTTATCCAATCGGTTTTATCTTTGTTAAAATTGGACAAAGTAATAAATGTGTGGGTTGTGTTTCTTTCCCATCTCCGGAAGGGTTAAAAGGTCACTCCTCGAAGTGACGGAAAATTGAAAAAAAAAACAACGATGAGAAAATTTTATCGAAGCTCGCAAATTCACGCTAGAGTGCGAATTCTCACACATTTATACATTTTTTTGAATGATCTTAAGAATGTTCCATTTCTGCATTCCATTTGAAAGCTTTTTAACCTGATCTCCTGTGCAGATTGAAAATGTTGTGTTTGCATAAAAATATCCTGGAATTTTTTTAAGGTTCAGATGTGTACTGCTTTTATGTTAATAGATTACAGGCTTACAGTGTTGGAACTATTTTATTATCAATATAATAATCATGTAAGTGGTTAAACCTTGTTTGAGTTACATTTCAGTACATTGAATTAACAAACTACTGTCAGAATACTCTAGAAATAGAATACAATGTATTTTCTTATGTTATTCCAAAGTTCCCATGCAGTCAGTTAAGGCTGCAAAATCTTTGTTTCAATTACAACACATGATTCGATAGCTGACCTTTGAACTATTCATTCGAATAGATGACAGATAACTTATTTCGTGTGCCTTGTATCAATTTACAGTATATAATAGCAACACATGTTGTCATACGATAAAAGCTTGTTCATTGAATAAGTTATACCACATGACACCCATTTAAATGACAATACATAAATATGATGATATAAGTTTCTGATAAGACAATGATAAGTCCAATAATATAGTGTTTTCTGTTTTTACTTTTTTAATTAATTTTTTAAATTACATTAAATAGCATAACTTCAAAGAATTCTTTTTAAGTTTTGGGATTATTTTGTTTAAATATGCATGAGATTACATGATGTAATGATCATTTGATATAACATCTGTTTTCAACAGATAAATCAATGTTTTTTTAGTTTCTCTTGAGTTTTTTTAGGAGTTATGGATATGGATTTTCACTCATAGAGCACTAAGAGGGATTTCTATTGATTAACAGTTAAAATATAAAATTTTGTAAAAAACAAAAAACAGTTCATTTATTTGTATTTTTTAAATATCAAATTGGCCCAAATATTAGTTGATGTTTTTCCCAGTTTTAAAGGGGCAAAAATTACTCTCAACTTACATTAGTCTGATTAATGCTTTCTTTACTTTTGATAACTGTCTGTGGTATAAGTACAGAGTTAAACTGACACTAAAATTCAGTGTGTCGATTGTTTAGTGATGTTAAATACCAGCCAAATTGTGACCTGTCATACTTGCACCCCAAATGCACAGGAATTAAGTGTTTGGCCTAATAGATTAGTCAAATGTTTAGAAACAGTCTTTGTTTTTTATCATATTCAACAGAATCAGTGAATTTTGATAATTTCTACAGAAATTTTATTTTTTGGTAACTTTTTATTTTACTCATAGATGTCTACTAATTCACCAATCATCAAAAATTGAGGGAAGATTACTGAAAATTTAAAATAAAATTTCTGTTGTAATTATTAATTGATATGAACCTTTATTACTATATTTTCGTGAATTGACCAGATGCTGTATATAAATAGGGAGAGACTAACATACCAGAAACCCTGGGGTTACAGGCATGTCAATTAAACTGTAACTAAAAAATAAAATTAATCACATGTAACAAAACTAGTTGTTAAATATTAAAGAAAGCATTTTTCGGAGTACAATAAAATAATAATATAATTTGACGAACTTAAAATCAGGAAGAGAGTTTTCATTTACAGGACAGTAAAACAATTAGTAGCTTATTAACAGTAATAGTAGTAGTTAATCAGTATGGGTTGCACTGACAATCTACCCTATGTTAAAAATAATATCTTTATCTCAAATCTAACCCAAAGGTGATGTTAATCCTTGTAAGTTGAGATAATTTATAGCGATTTTCTGAAATTTGATGTTTATTTTTTATGTTTTTGGATCAAATTACAATAAAATAAACATAAAAAAAGCACTTTCAGCATTCCACAAGTATTTTATATTGTTGGAGAGAAGACAAAATGCAGAAATTAAACATATAATCATAGTTTTTGATTTAATGCTGACATTTTTAGAATAAAAACTCTTCATTTTTTTTCATGTGCACTCTAGAAAGGGATGTATAAAACCTCACATAAACTGGTATGCCAGCATTCTCCCAGATAGACCAGTATGCTGGACAATCAAGAAAATATGATAAAATGCTTTATAGAAGTGTTTTTGACAGTTGTAAAAAAATAAGACAAGCAAAAACAAAACAAAAACAGTTTTTGATTTGCTTGTTTTATTAAGTACAGTCATAAAACTGCAAGTACACTTTCCAGAATACACATGAAGTATATTCTAGAAAGTGTACTTGCAGTTTTATGACTATACTTAATAAGAAATATGCACGAAAGCCTACTTCTCTGGTGCATTGTATATGTTTGGTAGCCTTCTATCTGGTATATGGGTGAGTAGTTTAAGATGGCAGCTTACTGCTCTGTGGGATCCAGGATCAAATCTGAATGGGTCAAAAAATTTCAGGAATTTTTTCGGAATGATCTGTTTGGATATGTCAGACCATTTCTCACCATCTGGCTGCCCCATTGTAGGCCTGACTGACTGCTAATGGACTTGCTGGAAAAAGCCCACTTAGTGCCCAGGCTTTAAACTTTTAAAATTTCTTCTTTCTCTGTAATTGGAAACAAAATTGTTATTATCCCTCAGGCTACAAGAGGAACTTGTATAGCAAACCAGTCAAACAACTTTTCCTTTGGCTGATTTTGTCTCAAACAGATTAAGGCCGTTTATTTGCTGATCTTATGTTTAAAGAATTAGGTAATTTTGTTTGAATGTAATTGAATGAAATGATTCATTAACAATAAAATTATGAAAGATTGTTGGTGATGACACAATTATAAAGGACTTTAATACATGTTATCGAAAACCTGGACAGAACAAACCTGTTTGAGCTGGACAAAGACCACAATGGCAATGAAACAGGAATGATGAAGATGAAAGTGAAGTATTGTTTCAATGATTTTACAAGTTTTTTTTAATGCAATTTATTAATCTTTTGTATGCAAATAAAATTGATGATAAAAGGTTGGGATTGCAAAATTGGGAGTTAACTTATATTTGGGCCAGTAGAGTATATATTAATTCTTTAGAAAAACTGAAAATACCAATAATCATATTTCTTCTCTCTTTCTTTAATATACTTTTTAAATTTATTTTTAGTCATATTTTTTAATTTGATAACAAAATGTAATTATTTATATTTACACGTTTTATAATGAGAGCTGGACAGTTTAAATGATATGACATCAAACTTTTCTCTGGTTTAGATTTGCATTTTAATAAATATCATATATTTCTTTGGCATTTCCTCTGCCAACTGCAAAATTTCTTTTGATATTAGTAGTTGAAGATATCCGGGAATAAATTTTTATTATGTTTTGTATTACCAAAAACTTACATAAATTTGATGTATGTTTTTATGTAGTTAAATTATAAAATTCTTAATTTTTAGGCAGCAAGAAGAACTGCAGCAAGAGAAAGAACTAAGAAAAGTACAGGCGGCTGATATTTCCAAACTTCATGTGCAGGTATGTTAAGTCAACAAAAGCAAGCAATGTAATTTTATAAATAGAATTAAACACTTTATATATTTTTACTGACAAAACTTTCTGTCAGAAATATCAGTGACTTCATTTAAAGGCTGCTTGTGTTATGCAAAAATAGAAAAACTTGGATGATGTGATGTTGTTATTGAGCTGAGCACTTTGCTTGCACAGCTAGCTCATTTCTTTATACTCGAGTGCCCTAGGATTTAACCTATCCAATATTAAATATTTTCTCTGTCGCGTTTCGTTCCACATTGAATTTTTTTCGATGTTAAGCCTAACACAATCACGTTTTAGAAAAATAATAATAGTGGCTATTGTATCGTTCCAAATTACTTTATATTTTACACACACAAAATAGACATATTAGGAAATGTAAAAACAAAAAATTTATTTCAGAAGTTAGTTTTAGAGTGATAAATCTCAAAGCAAGGAGCAACACATAGTGGAATGAAACTTTGTTTACACTGATAATGTGATTCTACTCACTTTTTGTTTGCTGAACAGACTTTACAAGCTCTAGTTGGGTGTTTTTTTTTCTGTTGCTGGTATAAAACTAGAAAAATGCCGTTTGAATAAACAACAGATTTTTGTGTGATGGTTGACTATGATGGGCTACATGTCTGCTCGTGTGAAACTTTTCCATCACTTCTCTAATAACAGACATATGAAAATCAAGAAATGATATCTGTTTTTTCATATGTTGGTGATACAAAACACAAGCATCATATAGTGCAATATATCCAGCGTATGCAAAAATATTTTTAATACTATTTCACCGTTTTTCTCATGCACAAATAATTGTGTATCATTTCATCATACAAATCAATTTCACCCATATTACGATTATAGTCTAAAACACAATTTGGCTTCATTATTATTTCTCCTAATCTGTTATGTTTACCAGAATCTGGGAATTCGTTGTTACTCATCATATTTAGAATTGTCACATCCCTTTTATCTTTCCAACAAAATACAGACAATTCATCTTTCTGAGAGGTCATAAATTCCTCTTTCTTCAATTTACAATTAGGAAAATTGCATGGCATTCCAATTTGATTTTTGTTCACAGTTCCACATACATATGTTTGTTTATCCAGAAGTGTTTTTGCTAATGTCAGTGAGGTGAAAAACCTGTCTAAAAAAACCTTGTGATTCTTACTGAGCAACAGTTCTAATAAGGTATGCAAAACTTTCTCACCTTGTCCACCTTCAAAATTTCCATATTCTGTCAAAGCTCCCATGTAAACTATGAAGTCCTAAACATATCCTGTTTGTGACTCACAAATTTCAAAACTTTTTACACCATAATGAGCATGCTTGCTTGGTATACAGGTAGTCCTCGGTTTATGCCAGTTCAATTTACACCAATTCACAATAACGCCGCTGTGCAATTTGCCGTTTTGAGGTGTAATTCCCCGATTTTCCCTATGCTAGACTGATTTTCATTCAATGATGATGTATTTACCGAGCCACGACATTGTACATTCGTTAAAACAAAGATTTTTATTAAATATATTTATTTTTTCTGTTTTAATATTATTGGGTATATATACATTTGCATTAAATTAATATTAAAATACTAAACATTTAGGTACCCACGAGTCAAGATATTAAACTTAATAGTCCAATAAATGGCATCCGAATCCATAGCACCAATGAATGTATCCCATATCAGTTCATTCAGGAAAACACCTTACGACGCAATAGCACTTCCGGCGATCACAAATTATCGTTAGTG